GTGACTTATGCCAAGTCCAACGGGACCACAGGAGTGGGGTGTTGGAAAGTGATAATGGCACAGTGTGACAGGAAGCCACGGCCTGGATGTGCAGGGGTTCTCAGGAAGGTGAGGAGGGAGCCCCTGGCAACTGTGACATGGGGAGAAAAGGGGAGATGCAGCCTCACGGTGTGGGAAGAGACAGGATGTCGTTAAGAGTTCATACCATGGTGCAGCACTAGGGAGCCCAAATCTGACTTCTACGACTCCAAGAAAATATTACAGGAGAAGAGAGTAAGGAAGGAAAGAGGAAAGGCAGCGTCCTGCTGAGCCTGGGCACACTGATCACTGTCGGAATAGAAAAGCTCCCGGGCAGGTCTGAACCTGGGCACTGGGAAGAGGGTGGCCTAAGCTGGGCTACTGGGCAGGGGAACTGGGGAGGCTCAGAGAGGCACTTTGGGGATGGCAACCAGCCAGGTGGTCGGGGGCAATTGCAGGAGCCCCTGAGGGCAGTCTGGGGGGCACTGGCAGATGCTGAAGGGCATTTAGGGGGCAGCTGTTAACGAGCACTTGAGAAAGAGTTCGTTATGAGGATCCCTACGAGGCATTTTGGGGTCCACAAGTCCATGGAAAGTGTGGGGGCTGTTTTCAGGGGGTCTCTGAGGTGTGGGTCGCCGGCAGGTCCCTGGGGGGCGGCTGGGGGTGTCACCGAAAACGTGGGGATAAATAAAACCCTTTAACACAACCCCTTTACAATTAAAGACCTTCCCAGCAACGGGTGAGGGGGAAATGGCCGAGCCCCTGAGGGGCGGTTTGGGGGAGTGTGAGGCGGTCGCTGGCAGGTCCCCGAGGGGCGGTTTGGGGGAGTCGGCGGCAGATCCCTGAGGGGCGGTTTAAGGGGTGTGAGGTGGCCGCCGGCAAGTCCCTGAGGGGTCGTTGTGGGAGGAGAGGAGCGGGGTGTGGGGGGGATCGGCGGCAGCTCCCTGAGGGACGGGCTCAAGGGGTTCCGTGGCGGACCGCAGGGGGAGGGTTGGGGGACGTCTCTGGCGACTCCCAGAGCGGCGGCCCGGGATGGCGGCGGCGCGGACCGTGCCGGGAGGGACGGGGAGGCGGCGGCGGCACCGAGAGAGACGCGGAGGCAGCACCGGCCGCAGCGTTGCCGGGAGCCCGAGGCCCTGCCCGCGGCCCCCACCCGCCGCACGCACCTTCTGGCGGATCTGCCCGGACGTCGAGACTTTGCGGATGAGCTTCTGCGGGGAGCCGGGCTCCTGCTCCGGCTCGCTGTCCGACGACTCCTCGGGCGCGGCGCTGGCGGCGGCGCCCGTCCCGGGCTGGGGCTGCGCAGCCCCGGCCCCCGCCGCCGCCATGCTGCAGGACCGGCGGCGCGACCCGCGCCCCCCCCGCCCGCCGCGCGCACTGCACCGCCCGCCCGCCGCCACAGCGCCCCCTGCCGGCGGCGGGGGGGACGGGGGGCCCGGCCGCCCTCACGGGACGGGCTCGGCCCCCCGAGAACCGCCCGAGCACCGCTCGCACCGGGCTCGGCCCCCCGAGAACCGCCCG